CACATGTTTTTAAATGGCCCCACGTTGGGCGCCAAATATGTGGCGTATTCTGAAACATATCTCTCATACCAGCGAGTAATGTTTGTAATTGTTCATTTGTCAGAACAACAGGGTCACCCATTTTGTCTTGATTTTTTTGGAACGATCGAAGATTATAGGGCATATACAGTGTCATTACTTAAGTGTGCAACATATGGGATTTTTTTTTAGTAATAGCACAATAAAAATACAAACAAGGCCAAAAGTTGGTGCATGTCTGATAATCATATTAGGTGCACTTAGAATGGTTGCAAGTCAAACATCATACAGGTTGGCTCAAAAAATTTCAAAATTCTACTAATATTTACTTAAATAAAATAAAACTTTTGCACTTTAAAGAGATATATAGATTAATATGGCTATTATCATTAGTAATGTTTTAACTTGGTAAAAAGAAAAATTGCGACATTTTAAAGTTGTGTTGAATATCATTGCAACAAACATGAATTTTGTGATTCCATAAAAAATTAAAAATCTAAGTTAATTTTACAAATATGCTCGAATTTGAACAAAGTTATGTAAAATTGATTTGATTTTAATTAATTTTTGAAAGTCTTAAGGGCGGAAATAAAAAATAAAAAAAATATAGAAATTATAGATTTTTTTCGAAAGAAAATAAAAAAAAAACCTTAGGAGGCTATGTTTTGGTATTTAGGCATAACTTTTAATTCCAAACAACTTTTCTCTATAACATTTTGCTGAATATTCTAAAATAAGGGTACTTTACAGTACCAGCTTTGATATTGTTTGAGCTACCCTGTATGCTGTTTGACTTGCAACCATTCTAAGTGCACCTAATATGATTATCAGACATGCACCAACTTTTGGCCTTGTTTGTATTTGGGTTGTGCTATTACTAAAAAAAATTCCCATATGTTGCACACTTGAAAAATCACACTGTATACAGGACAATCCAGCTTGAAGTAAGCCAAGTGATGAAAATGTAGTGTTGAGAAACAGCAAACTCGAGTAAATCCTGACGAACAAGCGACTGTAATGTAGGAACCCTTTGAACAAACTTGAACGGACATACAGGAAACTGTAATGCGGGTACAAAATGGAGGATAAACTTGGACACACAGGAAACTGTAATGTCAGCACAAAAATGGAGGACAAACTTGAACACACAGGAAACTGTAATGTCGGTTTGTGTGGAATATTCCAGAAATTGTGGGTACAATATCCGAATGCGGCAAAACTTACACAATTCAGTCAATTGACGTTTTCAATTAAAAAAGATAGACGATAAGTATGAAAACATACGTTTTCCCGCCAACATTTGCTTGCTTGTCAATGTCAATGTGTATTGGGTGTTTAGCAATTCCCTCGTTTTTATTCGAATCGGTGACTTCACCAATGGAGTTAGCTACCTTTGTTAAGTGAATGGAAAATGACAATAACCGACATAGAATGGTGGATCCATCGGTAACATTTGCGCAGGGTTTGAAATTGAGAAGAAAATGTGGGAAAAGTCACTGCTTCATTCGCAGAACTTCGCTATGAAGACGGTAATGGATTATTTTGGAAGCAAACAGCTTCCGCAAACTAAACTTGAACGTGGATTACTTTGTATACTTGATGGGACGTGGATTTCCCTTTCTTTTGCGAGTATCCTTTCTGATTTTGTGTATCCAAATTTTGACAAATGTAGAATTTGATGGAAACTTATGGAAAGACGCATCCGCCGGTGAATAGGAATTATTTTTATGAAAAAGCACACTACACAGAATCACCATTGTTAGGAAAAAACCTTGAAAAAACCGAGGAAATAATAGTTATTTTTCAAAAGTCTTGTCTACAAACCACTGTCAAAGGCTGTCAACCATTGTTTTCATACTCTTTTGGCATCTGACAGTTTGATGCCAGAGAGAGAGGCTTTTAAATTGAAAAGGTCAATTAATGCACATTTACATACTGATAATGTCTCGCGTTCTATAGTTCATTGATCTACAGTCACAAAATTATTCCAGAAAGTCATTGGGGTGGTGGTTCACTACCCCAGGCCCCACGTTGGGCGCCAAATATGTAGCGGGTATCGAAGGGAACTCCAACACTATGCACTACACATGTTTTTTAATGTTTTTATTCAACAATTTAACTGGAAAAAAATACAGAGTCGGCAAAATAATAGCAATAATTATGATAATTGATAATGAGCGTCATAGATGAGCTTGACAACTTGAACGGGAAAACTGACTGGACTGATCTATGACAATTATTGTCAGACATGGTCGTAGTGGCAATGGCTACGGCAACGGTAGTGGCCATGGTGTCGCAAGGGTATATAGACGTTACATCTCGAGATTTTTGTAAATATGTAGAACAAAATAATGTTTAATGTTTATCCTTTTTTGGTATCTTACAGGTAAATGCTTGCAGGCTATGGATTCCAAACATTGGAGAGTAGAAGAAGAGCACAGGCTGTGATATTTATTTATTCTGTTAATTCTAAATAATTTGAAGTACAATCACATAAAATTTATTAAATTTAAAGTACCTACCAAAAGTGAATCTGCGAATTCTAAATAAGGACGTCTTTGCACATAGGAGAAGAAGTATATATCTCCTATAAATAACATGCTACATATTTGTAATAAATTTCTATTAAAGAATGACATTGACATATTCAATAGTCCACTAAAACTACTTATAAATTGCTTCAAGACAGGAACATAATCATTATTCATTACAGTCTCTGTTTAGTTATCTTGCTTATGTCTTCTGACCTTGTTTGTTTGGAACTTGGAACAGAAGGCCTAGTACCTGAAGACAGTTTTTTACTGGAATCTGTTTTTCGCCAGTTTCAAGTATCTGGTTTGTAATTGTACTTTACATGTATCTAAAACCAACCTGGTGTTTGTAAAGTATTGAATAAATAAGTACATAAAATAAATAAATAATTCACTTTAAGGCATAGTTGTACCAAATAATTAGACTGTTGGACATCTTCAAAACAACGTCTATTAGACGTCTTTTTTTTGGTCTTCAGACGTAATGCAGACCTAAAAAATACGTCTTGAAGACTTTGTATATAAATGCCTATGGAAGAACAAAATATGAAAAGATTGGACCAAAAATACCATTACAAAATCTTGAAATTTGTTACCAGCATGACATATCCAAGAAAGTATTCTCAGTGCAGCTTTAAGCAAATACGAAAAAAATGGAAGAATACAAAAACCTTATCAATAAGGAAATCGAGAAAAAGAGCAGTAGATAAAAGGAAGAAATATCAACTATACCTAAGTTTAAATAAAACAATAACAGACAAAGAAATATGTACAGTCAGAAGCACAATAGCAAGAGTGCAAAATAAAATAGTACCTACCGAGAGAGGTAGGTTGCCTGATAACTTTTATGACGTCATCTGTATGCCTAAACATAATGCAAATCTCCGTAAGGCATCCCAGATACGTCATCAAGTTGCCCATTACCAGACAACCTTTGCCTTCCAACAGAAAACGAGTCACGTGAAAGAAACTGTATGCATGTTAATGCTTATCAAGTAGGTAAAAGAAATACAGAAAATTCGAAAAAAACCGAAACAAAAACTTAGGATAATAATACCACTGTAACACTCTCTCAATGAAGAGAACATTTCCTGAAATTACTAATAGAACAATTAACGGACAGAGTTTGAAGAAGGAAAAAAAGAGACACAAAGCATAAAAACCGTAGAATCACCAAAGGAAAGAAGTTAAGAAACACACTGCAGCTCCTTGAAAAATAGAAGATCCTATCAGGTCTAGAAGAAATATTGAAGAACTGATAAAATAACGGCCCAATGAACGCCTAATGAAACTATCTCAAAGATGTTTAGATAGACATGAAGAACAGGAATAGTGGAAAATAAACTATTCAACAATGATAAGTATATAAGACAGGACTGTGGCAAATACGTTATGGAGGGTACACATGGGAAAGTTAATATAAAAATCAAAATATAAAACAAGTACAAAAATAGTCGGGCAGAAGAACAGGCTTGTTTCAGGTCTGGAAGATCGACAGTAAACCACTTAGGAGAAACTTATGATCAAGAACTTTCATTCACTATTGTGAATCTAAAATTTAAAAGAAGCATATCATGACAATATCCCACTAAAACCAAAATGTCAACACAAGAAACAATCAATCAATAGGTATTTTCGTTTGCTTAAATAACAATTTACAAAGTTTCAGAATCGTCAGGAGAAAGCATACATAAAATAAAACAATATAAGTTATTGCAATAGCAACATAAATAATTTAGGACTCCTCTGATTCAAAAGACTTGGAGGAAAAGAACGCAAAAATGCAACAGGAATAATGGTCTGTTGAAGGAAACGGCAGGTAGGTCAAAAATGGAAAGAATAACAAGCCAAAAAATTCAAGAAATTAATGAAACAGATACACTACAATAAGTAGAAGATGACGATTGGAAAAGTAAGGGTGCCAATATGATAATGGAATGATCGAGAAAGGAAAAACAACTAAATGTATTGAAATATATTTTACAAGAAATTATTAATAGAATTTGACAAAAAGAGGAATCATTCCTGGTAATTTCAAGAATTTGCAGCCTCCCAATCAAGCGTGTGCGTATGCCCCTTCCGCTCGCCGCTGACACACTGTCAATACTCCCCTTACGCGATCGGAATTTTCGTAACGCTCGAAAATTGTCACCCCTTCAGGCACAAAGGATGGCAGATATTAGAATACCCAAACAAAAAAAGAAGTGGAAATGAGAGGACTTGGAGTGGAGAAGAATGACTGGTAGATACAAAAGGACATTCGTAAAAATATTTATGGACGAACTGGACACAGAGAACAGCACTAAACCGTCCATCAAAACAAATTCCGATAAAAATATCATAAACAAATACCAGTCCGCCTCTGCGTTACCGCTGGCGCCACTCTCCCCTTGCCCTCTTCCACCTCTCGCGACCGACCTTCACCGACCCCCGTCCGAAAGTCACCGATTCAGTCTCTTTCCGACCACGGCGACGTTAGTATCTCAGTGACGTGCGGCGCGACTTCGATATTCCACAGCCCGCCCCCTTATATAGGAAAACACTGTACAGTTTTTTCGCGTTCGAATTTCATCCGCCAGTGTTCTTACCCCGATTTCGGGATCGCAAATTTCCAGTGTCCGATCAGAGTGTGATTTCACCGGAGGCAAAATAGCAATAGTGGCCCCCAAATGTCCTTTAAATTGTTGCTACCCGTGTCGCGATCGAAAGAGCCCTTTAATGTTTATGTTTCGACGTAGGAGAGCGATCAATTTGACTAAAAAATTGTTAAGGGAACGTAGGGCTAATTTAAATGGCCCTCCGGCTGTCGGGGATAGGGGCCCTCCACCGGGGCCCCGAGATACCAAGGAGAGGGATGTACAGGAACTCCTTAAAAAATTACAGGTAATCTTAAAAAAATTCAATTAACTGCCAATAATTTTTTATTTGTTTTTAACGTTATGGTGATGATGCTATTCAATTTTATTTATAAACTTGCTATTATAGGCAAGATTATAGATGCCGGGATTATGAGTTTAGCTAATTAATTAATAATTTAAATTGGTAATTGGTGACGTTATTTGTTGAAAATTTGGTTATTTATAATCAGTTTAATCTTACTTACCTAATTATGTTATTTTGCTCAAAATTCAAATTAAATTGTTATTGATATTTTATAAAATACAATGTAGGTATACCAGTGTAGTATCAAGGCATTTTTGGCAAATTTAATTTTGTTGATGAGAGAATTTTTATTTTACCTATGTAAGAAAAATTCATAACTTTTATACATAATTGGTACGTACGTGAAAACTACTCAGTTTTCAGGCACACCAAAATGAAAACAAGTATTTTGGTGATTGAGAATATAAATGAATATACAATAAAATTTTTCACTTGCCTCAAAGTGTAAGAACTGAAAAATGTGAAGATTTACCAGAAGAATAGGTGAAATAGAAAGAAATAGAAGTACCAAAAACAAAGACATTATTCAGAAGAAGAATTTGTTTTATCAAAATTGAAACATCCCATTACATTATAAGGTTGTTTTATATGCATTCAGTATTTTCACCGATTCCGCGAGTCTATCGAAACATTCAGAACTCTCTTTACTTTAACAATAACTTTTTTTGAACTATAATCGACTTCAAGTTGACTGCAACTTAGAAACTACGACCTTCAATCACCTGAGAAATTTCTTTGAGTACTCTCAAATTCGTGTTTAATCTCCACTCAGATCCATAAACATTCTATCTTTCATTCTACATCTCCATACTACATCTCCATACTACCAGCCCTACTATGCCTTCCAGAGTCTTTAGAATCATGTCTTTGGAAGTGTTGTCCTCTAGATGAATGTTCATCTTTAACATACCAACTACTAGATGCTTAACATCTCATATGACTGCCTTCTAGGATTCCTTCCTGTCCATCCAGGTCTACACACATATCTGAGACTCTTCTTTCGTGACAGTGCCTTCCTCTGAAATCAGATCGTGGCAATCTGACCATTTGTTCTTGTGATAAGCCTTTCAACCTATCAAGATACATCACCTTTTCTCTTAGGTCGACTCAGATCCATAAACTTTTTATCTATCATTCTACATCTCCATACTACCAGCCCCACTATGCCTTCCAGAGTCTTTAGAATCATGTCTTTGGAAGTGCACTCTTTTAGATGAATATTGATCTTCAACATACTATTTACTTAACATCTTAAATTACTGCCTTCTAAGATTCCTTCCTATTCATCCAGGTCTACCCGCACTCTTCTTTCGTAACACTGCCTCCCTCTGAAATCAAATCATCGCGATCTGATCATTTATTTTTGTAATAAGCCTTTTAACCTGTCCTTTAGGTTCGATGCCTCAACTCAGATCTATAAACATTCTATCATTTTGCATCCCCATACTAACAGCACTACTATGCCTTCCAGAGTCTTTAGAAGTGATATCCTCTAGATCAAAATTCCTCTTCAACTAACATGCTTAACATGTCTCAAATGAATGCCTTCTAGGATTCCTTCCTATTTATCCAGGTTTACCCTCAAGCCTGTGAGATTTTTCTTCCAATGAACTGATATTGAAATTCTCTTTGTGGAAATGTCTAGAGCTGCTGTTTGAGGGATAACATTTTTTTCCTATAATATCCTACCAACCCCAAAAATGATTTTATATCCTTAGGGTTTCTGGGTATAGGAAAATTGGCTACGCGTTTTACTTTTCAAAGGTCAGGTTTAATGCCGTTTTCTGATATCATATGGTCTAATTCTTTGCGTAAAAATCCACACTTAGATGGTTTTAATTTCAAATTATTTTTTATTCGAAATTTCTGAAATACTTCAATTGATTTAAGTTACCTATTTGCGTAAATTACTACGTCGTCTAAATAAATAAAGAATTTTAAACCATTAAGCCCACTTAGAACTGCATTCATAAGTCTTTGAAAGGTTGCGGGTGCTCCCTCAAGCCCAAATGGCATTCTAATATAAACGTAGTGTCCTGTGGATGTACTAAACGCAATTTTATCCTTATCACCTTCTAGATCAGCAGTTGTTATCGTCTTGCTTCTGGTTTTTCACTCAACTTATGGCACGAAACAAACCTATAAATAAGCTAATGGTATGGCAAAAAAATCAACTACCTATATACAGGTTTGACAGGTCAACAACAGGCCAATTTCAATGCAATAGAATGAAATGTCTAGAAAAACTCTAAGGTTGAATAGGAAACGAAAGATGACGATTTCCCCTGTTTCACCTCCAGCATTTCCAGCGCTCTTTCACCACATCTCGCTCTAAAATCTTATACTTTTTTCCCTTGTATAATGAATAACTATTATTAATGGGATGTTCAGTCTTTGGGTGTTGAAATTGCTCAATATATAGGGATATAGTATATCATCCATAACTCTTTGGAATGTAGCCGGCGCGTTCTTCAAACCAAAGGGCATGCGCAAGAATTCATAATGCCCGTTTTCTATGCTGAATGCTGTTTTTCAATGTTGTTTTCATGCATCTGGATCTGGTGGAAGCCGCTAGCTAAATCTAAGGTTGTGGAATACTGGCAGCGTCTCAGCTTGTTCAAGAGATCCGTTATGTTGGGTAATGGGTATCTGTCATCTAAGCTTTTTGTATTAAGCCCCCTAAAATTTTCTATACTATAATAAACAAAAAAATATTCAAATTGTTTGTCAAAGTCGGTATAGCAAGAGCAACAAAAACAAAACACACAAGTTTGATATAAAAATGAATAATTAGGAATGTTAGGATCAGGAACTCAATATTTTTGTACCTACTCACTTTACACCCACTACATACCAGAGCTGGGCAGGGCTTGAGTGCTTTGTGCTTGCGAAAGTGCTTTAAGCACTTTGAGGACTTGAAAGCCCTGTGCTTCAAGCCCTTTCATAGATTTGTAATTGGGGCTTGCAAAGTCAATTACTTTAGAAAAGTCCTTGGTAATTTGTAATTGAAAAAAGTAATTCAAGCCCTTTCAATGAGCTTCAGCTACTTTTAGAGGGCTTGAAGCACTTTTGGGAGCTTGAAGCCCTTTGAAAGGGCTTGAAGCACTTTAAGAGGGCTTGAAGCACTTTTGGGAGCTTGAAGCACTTTGAAAGGGCTTGAAGCACTTTGAAAGGGCTTGAAGCACTTTAAAAGGGCTTGAAGCACTTTGAAAGGAATTTGAATTAACCATCATTCAACATATCCCCCACTTAAAAATTTTTGATCGATTTTCTATTATTTGAACTTGAACCATCTTATGTCTTTTCTCTCGTAACAATGGAGGTTTTGGGTTTGAGCTTAGAATGGATTTAAAAAAAAAAAAATGAATGAACTTATTATTCAAATAAATAATTAATTTATATTGGTATCCTATTTAACTTTATCACTGGATTTTTTTCACTTTTCCCCATTGAACATTTTGAAAACCCTAAAATTGAATTACCATGTAGTCTCCAACTACCCCAAGTACCCCAGAACTACATCTCAAAAAAAACATACTACTGCTACTCTGTGAAATGTAAAGTTCGTCTCTACTATACCAATTCTGTGTGATGAGTGTACGCGGTAGCTTATGCCACTTTGAGAATTTTATTACAAATTCAAAGTGCTTTAGGCACATATAAAGTGCTTCAAGCACATTTAAAGAGCTTGAAGCACATTTAAAGAGCTTGAAGCCCTTTTCAAGGCACCCCAAGCACTTGTGATGTGCTTCAGCACTTTTCAAATCACTTTGAGGGCTTTGTGCTTGTGAAGCACTTTTGAAAATAAAAAGGAATTTGTGCTTGAAATTGAAGCACTTTGATAGAGGGCTTAGGGCTTAGTGCTTCAAGCCCTTTTACTGAGGGCTTTGCCCAGCTCTGCTACATACAATGCCAAAATAACTATGGGGGCTCCGCCCCCATAGTTAATTCACTACGGGGGCTCAAGCCCCCATTGCCTCTATGGTTACGGCGCCTATGCCATGAACATTTTCTGTTGTGGTATTCACCACAGAACGATGTTTGGCCCAAAATACATAAATCGGTCAACGCTGCCGTTTTTCAGTTTATACTAATACACTTTCGAATATACTTGTAGGATAAGTAATAGTCTAAAATCAAATTAAAATATTTGCGAAATCACCTGAAATTCTCCGAAATCACCCGAAATCCTTCAAAATCACCCGAAATCCTTCGGAATCACCCGAAATCCATCAAATCACTCTAAATCCGAAATCTTGTCACAGCGAATAATCTCTCGAAATCTTTTCGAAATTCTACCGAAATCCTCCGAAATCACCCGAAATCTCTCAAAATCGTTCTAAATCCGAAATCTTGTCACATTTTTCCCTCAGTCAACCAGAACAAAGTGAAACACTGAACCAGAACAAACCAGAACGAACATGCACGCAATTCTTGATATTTCAATGAAAATGTCCAAAAATAGGTTAAAAGTGGGGTTGGAAATTATAGAAATTTACAAATACTTCCATGTATTCCCAAATTAGTCCTATGTCCTTCCAGAGTATTCCCATATCCCATATACTTCCAGCATATTCCCAAGGATTTCCAAGTATTCCTAGATATTTTCAGAGTATTACCAAGTATTCCTAAGTATTCCCAGCAAAGTGTGCAGTGATTTCCATGAATCATTCACCCCTCGGTTTTCTTCTTCTTCAGCGCGGTTTCCTTCTTCTTCAGCGATAACAATCGGTACCTCCTTACACAAGTTTTCAAGTTCCCTTATTACTTTTGGTAACAAACATTTCTTCTATCAAATTCATTGCAAAAATATGACTTGTGGGTTGCTCCAACGTGAGCTACAACTGTCAGGATTCTTTAATTCAAAAGGCATAAGGTTATCCACAGAGTTGCTGGATCTCTATCCTACAGGTGACAACATCTCCACCCAGCGTCAGAGCCATTTTTTATCTGAGAAAAGACATTTTCAATGTCAATTAGTCTTGGATTAACTGAGGTATGAGTTATGTAAAAAAAAAACCTATAGTCCTCCAAGCAGCAGAAGCCAAAAGCCAGTTAACTCAATTGAAATTTTGGCTTCTAAAAAGGAGTTAAGCTCAGTTTTTCTTGTCATGACCCAATAGAAGTTTTCTTAAAAACAGATCAAGAGCATCTACCACAAGTAAGATTTCGACATTTACATAAGTACTTAGCTCAGTACTTAGGTACTTAATTTGAACAAATACCAAATAATGAAAGAAATTCTAAAAATGCCAAGCTAGCATTCCAACTAGGTAATTTCAAATTATTATTGTTAATCTCTTGTCGAGTGAGCCTTTCAGTCTACCAAGTCCACTGGAGTGCAGCTCTTCAACTTTTTTCCCAATTTTTTTCAAACATACCTAATTAATTTTAAAATTGTCTTCGCCGGTATGCGCAAATAAAAAGCAGTCCTCCTAGCTATTCCTTTAGTTCGCTGATCACGCCATTCCACTACTTTATATTATGTTTTGTTTAAATAAACGAGAATCAGCACCGCATCATAGATGCACAACATCCTTCTCTAATTACGCGAACCCGTTTAGCTTGTTTTTCTACCAAGAGGGGCTGTCCTGATAAAATATGAGCATTATTTTTAAACTGATGTCACTTTAATGGAGAAAAGAAATAAATGAAAATCAAAACAAATAAAACAAAACCTAAAAGGAAAAACAGGCAGTCGCTCTCCGCCTTGGCCGACAAGTTGATTCTCAACGATATTGGAGAAGAAGAGAGACTGGATCTGATTTTGACTAATCATATATTAATGTTCTAAGAATTAAGGTAGAAATCTATACGGTCATATGAGTCATATAATATTCATACACATGGGTATTTCAGCTCATTTTCATTAAAGTCACTGGGAAAAACGAATTTAGATGTATACGAGAAGCTAGTTTTTTATCCTAACTTCTGAAAAGCAGGGCTGATGTTAAACGTGGATTTGTTACTCTCCAGTGTCCAGTTATCGTTGCTTGGAGGTTAATATTTCGAATTCGCATTGAAAACACAGAGGCTAAACTCTTTAGGGTCTATTTCTGGTAACCATTCGCACCTAAATTTAGAGTTGTCTCTTCTTTATCTATCAAGTTCATTGAAATATTTTATAAGAATTTTTTTTGCAGGAAAACCAACTCGAGATGTTGCTGACAGCGGTCGATAGCCGCGGTCTCGAGCTCGGCCATTGCGTGCTAGTGCCGCGCGAGCACTCGCACGAGCCGCACCTGCTCTGCTGCCAGTTTTGGCGGTGGCCCGAGGTGCGACAGGCGAGCGAGCTGCGCAGGTTACCGCAATGCGGCGCAGCCGGAGACATGGTTTACGCTTGCTGCAACCCTTTCCATTGGAGTCGTTTGTGTCAACCTGGTAAGATATAATTTTTTTTTGTATCAAGTATTCTGCGTTACACTCGATGTTACATGAAAAAATTGAAAATTTGCTTGGTTATATATGATGAGAAATAATTATTGGAAGTAGAAACAGGGCCGCCAAGAGCTGGGTCGGACTCCGGTAAAAAAAAAAATAATAATAACGGGCCTTTTTTTTTTTTTTTTTGGTCCCCCAAATAAATAATAATGGTCCTCCCTTATTAAAATCAGGGCCCCTCAGGTGTCCCGGAAATTTGTTTGTTATTAGGAAGTTCCAATGTTTTATTTGCAATACTTTATTTAAGACCGAAACAAGCTTGAAATATTATTCAATTACACATTCGGATATTTGTCTTTTCGAATGTGACACTTGCAAAGCGAAATTCAAACGGAAAGGCAATCCAAAGGATCACATTTTAACGCACTCGGATATTTATCCTTTTGCATGTGATACTTGCAAAGCCAAATTTAAACGAAAAACCAATTTAAAGAATCACATTTCGACACATTTGGATATTTATCCTGTCGAATGTGACACTTGTAAAGCGAAAAGGCGTTATTCATCCTTTTGAATGTGACACTTGTAAAGCAAAATTTGAACGTATAATTCAGGCCCCCCAGGTCTTACGGGAATTTGTTCCATCTACCCCCTCCCCCCTCTTGTCGGGCCTGAGTAGAAAAGGAATAACCAATAATTGGACTTTGTTACCTAAGTGAGTTTGAGACCTATAAGTGAAGATAAAATAATAATAATGTCATGGCAAGAGCTGAAAGCATAGACATGCAATTTTAAGAAAAAAAAGAAGACTAATATAACTTCATCATTGTGTTGATGTCAGATTTAGCTTGACAGTTACATAACTTGATATACTATAGCTCTGGAATTCGAACGCATAAATCACCAAGTCGTAATTTTTTTTTTAAACAACAAGAAAAATGAGTTTAGCCTACTTCTAAAGCACGAATTCTCAGGAAATTATCTCATATGGGTCGCTCTCTCGATATCTACACCTATAATTATTATTATGAACAGAATGAATGCTGTGGCCCAGGCCCGACTTGGAGTTCTAAGACCAGTTTGTTGGGTCATTTTAAAAATATTTTCAGTTTTACTGCCCATAACCTGCTGTGTAATTTATAGCCATTCGGTCCGTCAGAGAAATTGTTACTTAATTGTTTTTTTCTTGCATATACAAGTCTTTATATTTTTGTTTCTATTATAATCGGTTACATATATGTATATGAGAAAGTCCGCATGCATTATCTGTATTAAAAATGGAAAACATAATTAAACGTTTTCCATTGTTGCAGTTTTGGGGTTTCATAAATGCATCGCGTACTATTTGCTTATACAAAATGTTGTTTGCCCAAGCACATATTTGTTAAATAAATTGCGGCCTTGGATGCTGCAGTCGTCTGATGCACTATCTATCTATTTTGTGTGTGTATATGCATTCGCCATCTTAAGATACTCTCTGTTATAATACAACTGCGTTCGAGAACTTACGTCAAAATAAACTAAGATTATTTCACACTAAAACAAATAATTGTCATCCATTTAAATTTGGATTCAAGCAATGGAGCGAGAAAAATAAATTACACAAATGAAGGATCTATTATGCCGGTTTTCCATCAAACGGACTATTGAGTTTTTGTTTTAAAACTCGAAATTAACCCAAAAAACAAAACTCCAAATGAGCAAAACATGCTAATCTTGAAAATGTTTGGGAAAAGTTGGAGTTTTGTCTGAGTTTAAGTTTTGTTTTTGTTTTGTCGGTTTGGTGGAAAAAAGAGAGCAAGGAATGATGAGAAAAAATTGAATACATGAATGAACAAATAAGACAGAAAGGCCTACAAACTTGGATTTACAATCACGAAAATAATTCAATAAGCATCTGATGAAAAATTTCAATATTATGTACCTACACCATGTTCCCAATTCTAATTTTAACACTCTCTCGAAAATAATCCACACCATTCCCTAACGTAGCTTGAAGTTGTGTTCATTACACTGACCCCCAAGTAGAAAAGGCATAAAACGAGAAGTCAAGTTGAAGCAGTCTAAAAATACACCTTCTGATTCATATGTGAACACCATTGTATGATACTATCCGCGTCTTGTACTAGGGCGTAGTAACTATAAATCTTAAATCAGTGTAGAATGTTTAAAATAAATTGTTTGGAGCGATAAGAATGCTGACATGGGCAAGAGCTATTATGAAACTATGCAACTTCACTAAAAACCGAACCAGTTATAATATATCTACATTATTATTTTCTCCATCCTGGCCGCACTTAATAACCAAATAAAAAGAAATCCTCATATCGAGTAAATGAGACTCTGACTTTTCCATATAACATTGGTTTGTTATCGTTATGGATCTCGTAATTGGCATTTAAAAATATAGGCTATGCTCGGGCGATCTCTATGAATGCAATCTCGAGCAATTTTTCCCGCTAATCCAATTCTCTCCATTGAAAAATCTTCAGCTTCTTAGAGAATTCTATAAAGGCATTTAAAAGCGATAATACTCATGGGTATTTTAATTAACAGCGACTCTCGACTGTTGGAATTTGTGGACGAGGAATTGAGATTTTAGTGCAAGTGATTCTGAATTATTGTTTTTGATGACTTTGGATTTAGAAAATCACTTATGGGATTCATTAGATCCAATATTTGGGCATCGAAGACTATTTATTTTATTTTTCTTTAAAACATAGAAAGATCTCTGGTGCATACGACGAACCTGGAGGGATTTAATTCAAAGGGAGTTTTCCAATTTAGGGTAATTTATGTATGATGTTCCTTGAATGCTATGTACCTCAAAAACTTAAACTGTACCCTTTCGATAGCCAGTATATGGACATTATAAGAGGGAGGCAACACACAAGAACAATAATCCAAATATGGTCGTACTAGGGAACACAGAAGCAGTTTGAAGGAAGGGATATTTGGAAAGTTCTTAGTACAGCGTTTGATAAAGCCCAATACTTGAAGTGATTTAGAAATAACGGATGACAAGTGTTGTGTGTAAGTTTGGTGGCTGTCAAGAAACACTCCCAAATCTTTTATTTGAGAAGCCAGCCTTAAGGGCGAGCCTTTTATGTTATAATCTTGATGGATGGGATTTCTTCCGCGGCTGAAGATCATTAATTGACATTTATTAATATTTTGTTCTATTCCATTAAGATCGCACCACTGAGATAGACGATCTAAATCAGATTGAAGTTGGTCACAGTCATTCTGATTCCGGATCATCAACAAATAGTAAGAAATATGTGAACGTAATACAGGATGCAATATCATTTACGTAAACATTGAAGACTAAGGGTCCTAGATGTGACCCCTGTGGAACTCCTGATGAACTTTAATTGTGGCAGTGGCGGCTCGTCAGAGGAGGCAGGGGAGGCTAAGCTTCCCCCAAAAAATGAAAATTGAAAATTCAATCTCAGTTTGAAATAATAATTTACAAATTACACTTCCCAATTTTCGATATTTCAATGTAATTTAGAAAAATTTGACATTATTTCAATCAATCTCGCGCCTCCACGACAAAAATCTGTGATTCTGGGATATTCAGTAATACGAGCCCGAAGGGCCGGAGTTATACGCGAGCCCGAAGGGCTAAAGTTATTTTAATCACGAGGCCCAGTCTATAATTCTATTGGAGAGTGGATAATTTGGAGCCAATCAAAAATTGGGAATATACAAAATGTGATTTTTAGTCGATATACCGAGTTTCAGTTCTCTCCGATATACCGGAAAAAAGTTAGCCTCCCCATCTTTCTTGATTTTGAATTTTTTGCTTGCTGCGCAGTGGTAACTTTACCGTAATTCATTATTTTTTAGCCTCTTCACTTGAAATAGTCACGAGCCGCCACACACGCGGTGGACTGGAAGTTGTGGATACGTACAATTTGTGTTCTATCTGTAAGGTATGATGTTAACCATGTAACAAGCCAAAATTGCCTAACTAATTCTTACCTATTTTCAGTTTTCTATTCAAAATTCCTTTAAATTTGTTAACATTTTCTTTCTATAAAATTCCAACAATAATAACAGCAGTTGCAGGTCCTGTAAATTTTCTAATTTTCAATAGTCAAATTCTATTTTCATTTTTTACTAGTTCCTGTGATGTAATGATTTTTCCTCCTATCGTGGGAGAGGGGGAGTTGTAACGAGCCAAAATTCCCTAACTATTTCATGCTTGTTTTTCAGTTTTCTATTCAAGATTCGTTTAATTTTGTTTACCTGATCCTCTATAAAATTCCAACGATAATTACAACAGTTGCAGATCCTGTAAATTTTCTAATTTTCAATAGTCAAATTCTATTTTCATTTTTTACTAGTTCCTGTGATGTAATGATTTTTCCTCCTATCGTGGGAGAGGGGGAGTTGTAACGAGCCAAAATTGCCTAACTATTTCATGCTTGTTTTTCAGGTTTCTATTCAAGATTCCTTTAATTTTGTTTACCTTATCCTCTATAAAATTCCAACAATAATTACAACAGTTGCAGATCCTGTAAATTTTCTAATTTACTCGCATAACTTGTGCCGATTATCTATTTAATCATAGAAAAAGTATAGTATTCTACTCGTGAGTAATGGCCTCGGTAATGGCTATTATTCACTCGGATAATTACACTACTCGCCTGCGGCTCGTAGTGCAAACTACATCCTTCGTGAGTAATAGCCGGTTCGGCTATTGAACTCAGTACAAGTTCTAGTTGAACCCGGTTCAATCATTAGTTCCATAATCTTTGATATGTGTTCTGTGCTATCCTTGCTTTCTATTTTTTGACTTTTGAAGTGTCATAAATTTTTGTCAAAAGAGTTGCTTTCCAGTGCCTAAATTGTCAGAGTATCATGCCCCAGGAGTGTGACGCTCTTGAATTGTTCGACATAAGCAGCACTGGAACGCTCTCTTCTTAACCCCCCATCATTTCGGACTTCAGAGCTGTTTTCTCGCGTCCACTTTTTTGATATTGGTTCAAAAC